AAACAACCTCTATACAACGAAAGGAGACTGCGACCACACAAAAGGCCACACCATCTTGGTCTTCATAGCTCATGTAGTATGTTTCGACATGTTTTGGACATGTTACCTGCCGAAACTAGACTCTGCACTATCCGATTTCGATTCTCAGTGGAGGTGGAGATGAGACTCAGGCGCAGTCGTTTTGTTTTAAAGAGTACACTCGCCAGAGTTTTTGTTCATTTGGACAAATGCATTATCGTCACGTGAACAGTCACGTGAATACAGATTGGTTCTACAGTCTAATCGCCTGAAGTCTTCAGGTTCACGTGGCCATGTGCATGTGCATGTGCATGTGTATACAAGGCATTCACAAATGTATGCGAACTGCTGGGACTATGCCCCTCAGGCTTAGTCAGGTCTCACAATTTTATTGATCTTCGGTCTCTATCCGGGACAGCCCTTGTCTGCTCATCGTTTGGCTTCCTGGTCTTCGGAAAAAGGGTGGCAATGAAGCTGTCTGGTTTTCTTTTATGGACTGTCGGACAGTCGAGCTGCCCGAGACACGATGAAAAGATGGCCTCATATTCGCATCAAAAGTCCTGAACTGCTGTGTCCAGGTCTAGCGCACCACCAGCACGATCGGGACCCCAAAGTGGGCCTGTGCTCTGTGCCGAAAAAGTGGTCGTCGATATTGTCAGTAGATCTCGCGTGAGAGTTGTAGTCGGGCCAGGTCGTAAATGGTGAGGAGGAGTTGATTGAAGTAGGACAAGTCAGTTGGTGTGTCACGGTTGACCTGACTTTGGCGGCAAGTGAAAGTGCGATCATGTGGGTAGATCTCGTGAGAACACGACTGATCGGCTGTCGCTTAGTTGTAGCGGGATATTCCGGTTGACGCAGTTCTTGAGACGCCCATCCGACAGTGGCAAAACACATGCTATTTGTAGCATCGCATTCCGTTCAGGGCTTTCGTGATATTCCTTCTTCTCATGTTACTACTGTCCTTCCGTGACGTGCTAATCATTGGTGGAGCCGGTCACTGCAATAAAATGGACAGAAAACGATCTTCTGAGAAAATGGAAAATATTCTCGGCGACGGAACAACTTATCGGCTGAAAAACAGACGAGCCAACAGATCAAATTCAGAGGCTCCTGCAAGAAGGGCTGAAGAAAATAAATAGGACCAGAGAGCTCGACAAATGAAATATTAATTGACTGTTACGAAATGAGGCAGGAGAATCGGCAGCTGCTGCTGGCCGCAAATTGATAACAAGAAAAAACCCACCAGACCGATAGTTAAATTGAGAGCAACGGATAAACTGGCGAAAATTATCTGCTTTAAAGGATGTCACAGAAAGACTATCGAATACAGCGAAGCACTCGAATGAATGTTATCAAAGAAACAAGGATATTAGCATGAAGGAACCGAAATATAGAAGTTGTTTGCCCTTGTTTTCGTAACTCGGTCATATTGGTAGGAAGACTTAGAGGAACACACCTAAGCCGGAGTCCATTGTATGCATCAGCATTTCCAG